TGGGGAATTCTGGGAGTTGAAGTCCACACATCTTAAAGTTCCCAAGGCTGAGAAACACTGGATTAAGGTGTAGGATTAGGTCTAGAGAGACCCAGGTTCTAGTCCACCCTCAGCCACGGAAGCTCATGGGGTGACTTTAGGGCAGTCACTCTCTCTCAGCCCAATCTATCTTACATGGTGGTGATGGTGGTGATTAGCTATTCCATCTTCCTCCAAGGAGTTCAAGAGGTGTACATCATCCTCCCTTCCCCCCCCCCTATAAATCTGTGAAGGAGGCTACTGTGAAAGAAACCGCCCAAGGTTTTTTATGCCTGAGTGGAAATTCAAACATGAGTCTCCCGCATTCTAGCCCAGATAAAACCATGACGTTGAACCAATACAGGTAATTTTCTAAACAAGTTTATATCTGACCATTATGTTATACAAACAGACAATCAGCAAATTTCTTGAGGTGTCCAACCTCTGGTTAGATTTTGACTCCCCTTCCTTATCTTCCATGACACCCAACTGTTCTGGTGACACGAAGATCTCTTTGTTGACATTGTTCACCCAGCTGCGTTTGGTATTCCCCGGCTTATTTTGATTCAGCTCAGCTAAAATATAAGATATGGACAGAAAACAGGGGGAAATTATTTTGTGTTTGTCTACTCATGCACAGAGAATAGCCAATATACACTTTGAAGATGCAAGTTTTAAAAAACTCCTTTTTTATTGATCATCACTAAATATGAAACATGGACATCACTATTTTTTACTAAAATCAATATATTCAAGATTCTAAATGCTAAATGATACTTAGGTAATTTTGTTCTATCCTATCCTATTGTTTAGAAAGGCATCATTCTTAAAACACATGAAATGTTTTACAAACTTTCAGCACCCTTCAGCTGGGGAAAAAGCCCTCAATAATGAATAAGATTCCTGTAATAGTTTGTTATACAAGAGGAATGAGCTCTTCTGTAGAAACACAGTTATTCAAATGGCTCTTTTTGGATTGAGTATTGATAAATTATCCCTCTAAACCAGTGTTTCTCAACCTTGGCAACTTTAAGATGTGTGGACTTCAACTTTAAGAAGTCCATACATCTTAAAGCTGCCAAGGTTGAGAAACACTGCTTTAAGCTTTTTCATTGTGGCAGAGAATGTTTATTCGATAGGTCGACTTAGACACAATGGATTCTGAGTTGCTTTGAGAGTGGGTGACTGGATGGATGGATGGATGGATGGATGGATGGATGGATGGATGGATGGATGG